GCTTAGGATTAACCTCTTTATATTGTGTGACAGAGTCTGCCATTGCCAGTTTGGGTTAGAGTTTGTGGGCTTATTACCGGAGTTAGACCAGAAACCTTTCCTTATGCAACCTTCCTTGCTTCAACCTGTTTTTCAGCTCGTGATCGTCGGGAAGACCAGAGGTCCTATCTTCATGCAGCCTAACTAAGTTTGGAGATAGATTTGTTGGCTGATTGGGTATGACATGAATTGGAAGCTGGTCAACCAATCATGAAGGTGATAAATTTTTGTAATCAGGTAGGATTGAACCCTAGACCTTCTCCTGGTAACCTATGGAGCATTACTACTGTACTATAGACCTATAGGTATATAGATTGTTTTTATTTTAAAATATAATAGATAAATTATATTATAAAACATAATTATTTTAGATTTTTGTTTATTAATATACTTTATAATATAATATTAAGCATATATTTTAATAATTTAAAGAATGTATTTTATTTTATAGATTTGTTTTAATAGAATTGAAATAAGTTGCGACATAAATTAAGATAAATTTAGAAGTTATTATTATTATTGGCTTTTGAATAACTTGATTTAATATATAGTATATATAATATATAAAAAATAAACTAAAAATAATGAATACAGTAATTATTGTTATAAAGTTTATTAATATGTTTGTATAATTTGTATTTTGAAAATAATGAATTGATTTTGATTTTTTTGTTAATATATGTATATTAAAAATGTTTTTAACTTTGTTTAATTAATAAAAACTTTTAAATTTTTTTAGCCTTTAGAATAATATCAAGATTATTTGATTTATTAGATAAAGTCTAATTCTTTAAAGGTTTTTATAATATTCTAAAAAGGTATTTAACTTAATAATACTGGTTTGACTATAGGATTAATAATGAATTTGAAATTAACTATAAATTAAAAAGTTTAATTCATATTTTTTTAAATATAAAAAGTTATCTGCCTTTTTTTTGTATAATAAAGTAACCAAAGTTAATTCTTGTTGAATTTGAATACTTTTGAGTATAATTGTATTAAAATATAAATATTTTTTAGTTTTTGCAAAAGTTTTTTTTTAAAAAAAAATATTTTTATAAATAGAGTTTTTAAAATAAGAACTGTTATTTGTTTGCTAATTAAGATAATAATATTATTAAGTTATAATTTTTTATAAGTTATCTTCTTATTTCATAAAATTAATCTTAATCATAATTATAATATATAATTTTGAAATTTATTTAATATACTTATTACATAATAGATAAAATGATAGCATGTGTTTTTTTTTAAATTAACTTGTGTTAAGCTTATTTAAATAATATAGGAGATATATTATTCTCCTTTAAGTCTATATTTCCCAAGTTATCAGCAAATAAAAAATAATGGATGCGCACTACTTTTTTTTTTTTAAAAAACCAATGTATTAATTAAAATTACATATAGTATATGCTATATAATCTAATGTACAGTATTATAACTAGGTAACGGAAACCGTTGGTGCGTCCGAAGCGAAGGATTAAATTATGTCAATTTTTTTGATAGCGACAAATGATTATTTAATAAATTAAATAACACAGGTCACGTGACCGATCGACTTTCATGCATATTTTCGTTACATTATCGCAGATAGTGGATTAACTACATTATCGGTTAGTATTTTCGACTTAATAGATTAAAAACTTTAATTTACACTCCAGACAGACAAGGCATGTCAGGTTTAGTGTAGAATGGTAGTCTTACGTTACGCTTCGGACAATAAAAACTTACGCGTGCGAACAGATAAGACGTGTCTGGTAAAAAATTTATGCGTTAAAAAAAAATTATGCGTGCGGACAGACAAGACGTGTCAGGTTTGGTGGAGAATGGTAGTCCTACGTTACGCTTCGGGCAATTACAAATTTATACATGTGTGTTCTTTTGGGAAGTTTCTGTAAACTCTAGTATAACACGTGACAGTGGTGACGCGTAAAAAAATTTCCGTGACGTTAAATGATGGAATTATTTGTTAATTTGTGATGACGGAATTATTTTAATTTATTATGACGCATTAGAATTAATGGCGATACTTAAAGCAATAAATACTCGTCCACCTGAAGAATACAATACCGACATTTATTCGTATTTTCGTTTTATCAAAAATTTTATTCGTGTGATAATCATTTTTGGTTATTCACGCGGAAGACCCTTTAGGCATGTTTCCTTTATCCATAACTGCATTCTGCAGGTTCCGCTGTGCAACATACTTGTGAAAACACACTGTATATACCGAGTTCTATCAATTTAATGTTGACAAATAAATATTGAGAGAATCGAGTTAGTTGGTTCATCAATATTCATATAGAACATACATTATCAGAAGTAAAAAACGAACGTTGGGATATAATGAAAAAGATTCGTTTGATTGAAACGTGTTAAAAATAATTATAATGATGATAATGTACCGAAATTGGTTCGTATTTAAATTCATAAATATTTTTTTATTCAAATATATTACTAATATTATTTTTCATTATAAGTTTCAATATTACGAAGAATTGAATGAAATTGATAGAAATTCTTCGAGTGAAGAGGTCGTTATATATCCCTGTACTAGTTTATTAATTTTATGCATTTTTTAAAATTAACATTTATTATTTTCAATAGATTGAAACAGATGAAGGTTCGATATTTGATAAATGGATAGTCTCAACAGGAACAAATGTTTCGCAAGTTTTGGAGAAATTTTAAATTAAAAATTCCGAAATCGAAAATGTATTATAGTAAGCATATATTTAATTATAATCTTTTTTTATTTTTTTAAAAAAGTTAATATTTTTAGCATTTGTTTGTTAGTTACATTTTTTTTTGGTATACTTAATCTGTCCGGCGAAGATATAATGGTCAAAAATCTTTTTACGAACGATGAATGGGTGGAAATAAAAAATGATTTAAAGAAAAAGAAGTACTGTACGAATTATTTAATAGTGTACAAGTGATAAGATTGGATCTTTATTTATTATTTATTCTGTTATTCGTATTAATTTTACATTAAAAATGTCAGCTGGCGACATAACAGAGATTAAAAAATGTATTATCGAGGTTTAAAGAAACTGACATATTTGATACAAATTGATAAATTATTATTAATTGTAGAAAAATCCGAAAGTTAATGCAATAAGTTAGTTCAAAATTAGTAAGTTTATTTTTCGTTTTTTTTTGTTTTTTTTTTTAAAAAATTATCATTACTAATATAATATTTTTTATTACATAAGGTTTATATAATTTGGAACGGTTGCAACCGCCAATTTCGGAAGCTTCATTTTTTGGCGGTCTGATGTTAAATTATTGTAGATCTGTGCATAGCAGACCCAGTAAAATGGAAAAACCAAGAAAGCCTTTATGGCTCGAAGCCCTATTCTGGACTGTTCCACGAATTCATCGTCCCATGTAACTTTTCTCCTTTTCAATTGTTCTTCCGTCATATTCGAAGGTTTGGCGTTCTCCAAATTTTTTTGATTCACGAGAGTTATCCAAAGCACATAGACAAAGTCAAATATCACTGAACCTTGGGGTTCCTTCTTGACGTACTTATCCCAACCAAAGACTAATATGGCGATGGCAAAGAGAAATACTGAGAGGTATGAGATAAGCCAGCCAGAATGAATGATATTTCTCAACGTATATGGTAATAAAGACCGAGAGGGATCCAATGTTGATAGCCAAGAAATAGCAGCGGATGATTGGTATGGTAATGTCTGGATCGACAATTACCCTTTCAATAAATTTACAAATACAGTATGATATCGAGGTATTTTAACATGATTGAAAATTTAAATATAAGTGTATTGGAATTTAATTAATGATAAAGTATTTGGCTATTCATTGACGTATAATAAAACATTTTAATTATTTTTAGATCAAAATTTCATCTGCTGCGATTGCAAATGTGATTTTAGAGTTACGTTTGAGTAATGCTTGTGCTATATGAGATTGAATTATATGGAACCTACGTTACGCGAGAATCTGATCGTGATATTTCGCGAAACTAGATTGTGCGAAACTTGGGCTACACATCAGCAAAGTAAAAAGTTTAATTTCACTTATCAAATTTAATAAAAAATTGACTTTTTTTTTTCACTTGAATATATATTGTATACTAATTAGGGTAACGGTTTCATTATTACGGCTATTTCCATGACCCACAATATTACATCACGAGGCTGTAGAACTTATTTGGAAACAAAGACAACGTGAAAAATATCACCACGTTATATAAAGAGTTTTTTACAGTATTAAAATTTTTTTTTGCGAAATTTAAACTTTACCGCCATACAAACACGCGGAAACTTGAGTCCACTTGTTCAGAATAATAATTCTGGTGAGTCGCGTATTGGTAATACAATAATTTTTCGTTCACTGTCCTCGTGAATATATACTAAATGTCTATATGCTCTCTTTCGAATTCTAATTTCTTTTGCGTCAATTCTCACAAGGAAATTCGAGCATTTTGTTAGTTGCTAGCGATCTATCAGATTCTTGTCCATCATCAGACGATTCTCGTGTTTCACCAAGTCAAGAAAGTACTGTTTATCAGCAAATTCCGCGTTAAATCGTGTATATCAATGCACCTTCTTGTTCTTCCGATGAGGTTTTGAATTCACAGAAGCAGATTGCACTCTAAAATAATTCTAGGTCTGACGAATATGGTTGGTTCCTCTTACAAGTCTGAAAATTTTTTAAAGCGACATCTAATACTAGCCAACTTACTGACATCGATATTTTTGCTGAAGGTGACTTGAGTGAAAGCCATCATGCGAAAGAAAATATTTTTCAGGACGAAATGAAAACAAAAGGATTATTAGTAAAAAAGAGCGGCGTGATGAAAATAAGAATAGATTCATGAACGATCATAAAAATAAGCTCATTTCCAGATCTCAATTTCAACTATGGAGATGACGGTAAATGATATCTCATCATTATCATTACCATTTTAGTCGATAAAATTATCATCTCGAAAGATTCTTTGAAAAAAACTTTGCAATGACACGATTCCTTACAGCTTTAGTTCAATCTCAGAGATCGATCACAATCGCTTGAATGCACTTTCATTCCGTCTTATTGGATGCTACGGCAATCCCCTAATGATCGCTGAGCTCTTGTTGAATAAAAACGTAATCAATAAACAGCTGTATGTTGATTTTTCACGATTCAATATTAAACTGCGTAAAAAATTAACTGATGATATTATTTCAGTTTTGATCTTCTAACATCGGCAGAAAAATCTAAGGAGAGTAGAAACAAATCAAACCTCCGACCCGGAGTTTATTTGTCTATTGTGAATCCGGATGTAGGATTAGTGATTCATTGGCCAGAGTCAGGATGCTACGAGGAAAATGCTCCATCTCAACGTAAAAAAAGCATGACTAATTTGCATAGGTAAAAAATTTTGAAATTGGTGGGATATTATTCTTACTGCATATTTGTGCCTTAATGACTTCGTTGCTTAGGTATCTTACAAAGTTGACCGACGAACAACTTTGTCTCATGAGCGATAAAGATCTAGAATATTTTGAGTGGAACTCAGGGAATGATGAACAAGACTCCAACGACGAGGATGATGGTGGTAATAATAGATACTTCGAATTCGAGATCAAGAAAAGTCAAGAGGAGCAAGAGGATTTCAAGTTAGCCAGAGGATTCGAGGTGATTTTTTATCCGATTATTCATCAAAAGATGTCTATTTATTTTCATCGTTGTTCCTTTTTTTTTCTAGGTCAGCTTTCCGCATAATGCAAACGAGAATGTCAAAGAAAACAAGAAAAGAACACAGTTATGTCCAATGAGTAATTATATAGCTTTTTATTTTGTGCAATTCATGGATAGTCGCGCACATATTAACATTTATACATACGATGTCAAATTTACTGTAGTCGTAGAATCGGTTCATCACCAAGCGTTCATCACTCGTAGTATTATTACTTCACCGGTTATTATGACAAAATGTACCTTACAATATCCTCGTCCTTCGAATTTCAAAAATGATCTAGATCTAAAACTTAAAGGAAGGTCTTTAAAAATCGATAGAGTAATGAGTATAAAGGGCTTGAAATTTCTCGTCAAATATGGTCTGGGATTGGGAAAAGAGTTTCTTGGTCCTTTGGATTCCGCCATCGAGAAAGCAAAAATATTGATAGATTCAAAACAAGAACTCGAAAGGAAGAACATAGAAAAGGATGCCGAATTAGTCAGAGAGATTGCAAAAAAAATTGTTACAAAAATATTATCCGTGAGTAGGATCTATTGTAAATTTTGTATTAAAAGCATTGATATAGTTTCATTCGCATAAATGTATTGTGTGCTAAATCACTTAATAGTGAATTCGAAGAAAAGATAAAGATGAATGATCCCTCAAACTTACTGGATGTAGATGAGTCGCGTAAGTTATCTTAGGTACTTTTAAAGTTCATCAAAATTTAAATTTATCGTTAACAAGTCATCTTATTTTAAATTAGTGAAACAACTCGATGAGAGATATCAAGGAATCTTAATAAAAATCCATAACGCAGTGCAAATTAATTCCGATGCTTGGAAAAGGCTAAAAACTCGATATATCTTTTTATCGATGTTGATACAAAAGGTATCTTCTTCTAAAAAGAATGAAATCAAGGAAAAGACCAAGGGGTCTGCGCTTGAAGTCTTCTATGAAATGTTTGCCGATAAAGAAGATGATCCTCACTCGTTAGTAAAAAAGTACATCGAAAAAGCAACATATTCTGGAATTTTGGGGGGAGGCTACTCATACCAATTGGTGAAAGATACATTGAAAATGCAATAGCTTATGCCAATTGCAAAGAAGATCCCGAACTCATCAAAGGAATTAGACAAACAACATCCTTTGACGTATTTAATGATATTAGACAAAAATTTATGGACGAGTTCTTTAGGGAATATCAAAAGTGGCGAAAAAATATATTTGATAGTAACATTAAAAGGATTGCTCCAGGATATACCGATCAAGGCATGGAATTTAAAAAGAAATACGAAGAGATTTTGGTGGAAAGTCGAAAGATTGAAGAACAGGAATTTGAAAAGATTTGCCTAGAAATCGAGAAAAAATTTCCAACAGGGTATGTCATAAATAGCACCATGCATATATGAGCTTGTAATTTTTATAAAATTTTATCTGAAATAATGACCAATACTGCAGACGTATATTTCGAATAATCGATGTAACAGGTACTGTCTTAACAAATTTTTAGTCATTAATAATTCTGAATTCTAACATAAAAAATTTACCACTGTATAATACTTTAGAGGGCGTATATGCAGTTGGATTTCGATTAACGTACGAATTTGAGACAACAAATCCAGACCAGCTACATATCACTATTTACGAAACATCATGGGATCAGTCGGACAGTTTTAGATTACAGGAAGACGAATACCACGTCCCTAAGCCTATATTATCTGCTCGGGGGAACGCCGGGATTTCTTTATATGTTGATTATGATGTATACGACTTTAGGTAATCATTTTTTCGTTTCGTAATCTGTTTTTTATATGGTTTGATTATAACGAATAATTCCATGCGTTGTTTTATAGGAAAATAGCTTGTTTTAAGGATAAAAAATATTTAGTTATATTATGGAATAAAAAGGAAAATATGACCGAAATATTTTTTGGCAAATCCCCAAAACTGGTCACGTCTATTCAGTCATATCCAAAAAAATGCTTTGTAACGCTCCGTACTGAAGAATTTTGCCTGTTTGCGGTTAATGAATCAAAAGGATTACTTGGCATTTTTAACACAAAGTCTGGCATGGTATGAATTTATCAAAGTTTATAAATTATAAATTACTTTAACCTGGGGATTTTGCATTCACCCTTACTTCTTTACACTAAGCTGGATATTTTTGCATTCGACGAAGAACGAAAAAATCTCTTTAATCGTAACAACAAAATTAAAATTTTGCAGTGGTATGATAATGTAATTCCCGATATCCAGCATTTCTTTTTCATCAAAGATACCGAGGAGATATGCTTTGTCGAGGTAGGAGGACGAGCGAAACTATATAACTTCGTGAATGGGCAATTTCGACCTAGCGTAGGGAAAATTCCGGAAAATGCTAGTACAGTTTTAAGTACGCCCGATGGATCTTGTATTGTGGCGTTTGCTCAGGAAAGTGTGAGAGTAGCTGAGGATACAAGTAGTAACATCGACGGTGGCTTAATTTCCAAAGAAATCACAAAAGAAATAGAAGTATGCCGTGCGTATGTGTATTTTTGCTCGAATTTCGGACAACCGGCGAATAAAAGTACCGTAATTGTTGATATGTCATGTTAAACAAGCGCTATTGGGAAATTATTAATTATCTATTATCTATTTTTATAGTTATTGAATTGCCTTCCTATCTGGATCTCGAATGTCTACAATTTTCACAATTGTACAAACGTCAGATGCACTTGATATCGCTTGATCTGGAAAAACGCTTGTTTCATTCATTAATAGTTAAGATTACAATTGAAAGGTCTCAGTATGGATTTCAACAAAGGTCACAAAGAAAACCTCTTGGGCAAGTTAAACTCGCATCTCCCACACGAAATAAAGACTGTTCGATTATCCAAGGAAACCATACACACTTTGAGCGGGACGTAGGAGTTGGAGAGGGAATTTCTTTATTAAGAGAAAGATACCGCGACATATTTTTTTCAGATACGATGCTAGATATTTCCGGTAGTTTTCGACCCGGCTCAGGTAATGAATGGGTAGATTTTCGTACCAAACCCAAGATCAAGATTAACGGATATATTGATGCATACAAGTTGATTTTCGAGAAATATCCGATTGATGGATGCATAGATTCCGAACAACTAAGCCGTTGAGTTTGAGGGTTCTTCTGGATTTACCGGATGATAATGAAATCGAAGATTATCAAGATAAATTTGAGGAATATATAAACGACATGTTTGAAGAGGTAAAACGGATCACACGGAAACCAGCTTCGATGCTCAAGAAATTTAAAACATGTAAGTAAATCGTACGCATAAACAAATTGTTAAACAAACTGATGTAATACTCGACATAATTGCCTTTTGGTAACTCTGGCCGTCGAATTATTCCGCAATTTCGATATTGAAAATTTTAAGCTCCTAAGAAAGAAATCTTCGAAATTTCAATTCGGAGAGTGGATCATCCAACTTTTGTGTCTTATTCCCATTCAGATTGCAATCACACGAAACAATCAGTTTCAGCCTCTCCATGATGGTCTGTCATCAACCGAACAGGATCATTTTGACGGTTCTGATTACGGTCATCACGTGGATATTATTGCGCAGAGTATCTCGTTTGGATAGTATGAAGGTATATTTAATTTTTTCGGGAATCGAAAGGTCAAGGTTGTGTCGAGCATGGGAGAGCAGTCATGCAGAAAATCATATATGGTAAATGGATTCTCTCATCAATGCGAACGTTTCCTTTTTTACAATCCTAAAGGTTTACCATTTTTATTTTGAATAGTTAAATCACCTCGTCGGAGCTACTTTCAACGGTTCTGCTATGGTATGTTTATCAACTAATTTTTTGCATTTTTTTTATGTCACGAAAGTATTTTAAAAGTTTAATTAATTAGTATTGTACCGAAGGCGTATGGATGTCATTGGGTAAAACATATTATACAGATTTTTTTCGAAAACGTATGAATGTTAATACTTTTTTTCGAGAACAGCTATTACCAAAAGTTGCCTATACGTGGCATTGGATTTTGAGGGATTGAGATCGATGGGACGATCACCACAAGAGGATCTGTTTTTGACTTTATTTAACACATTGGTGTCGAACCTAATTCTTTTTAAAGTATGTATGATCCAAATTTTGACAAGAAAGCGAAGATGTTAATTGACTATTCTGACCCTTTAAAAGAATCAATTCTCCGTGAATAGCGATTTATCCTCAATGTTTCGACGGTTTCAAAATGGTGCATTATTGTTAAATGATCAAAAGTTATTTCAAGTAAGCGTCGTACCTAATTAGTGAAGCTTCAAAAAATAATACTGTATGTACTAAGATTTACATTCGTTTTATTAGGCTAAACTTTGGTATGAAAGCTCAATCCATCTTATTTCACTTGATCTTAATCTTTATAAATTTGCCTAATTATATTATACGGTAATATTCGGTAGCATTATAATCAAAGATGTTCCACCAAATGACAAGGAGGACATTGTTAGAGAATTTACACAGAAATTTAATTCTCTGGTTGCTGAGGTTAGAAGCTATTATTGCCAAGGTTGTATGTCATTAACATTTTGACAGCAATGATTTAATTCTTTAGGAAGGTGAAGATAATTTTATATCGAAAATGTATCCGAGCGGACTAACAATTCTTCCGTGGACATTAATTTCCGACCCCGGTTCGTGTTCTTTAAAATAAATGTTAACTATTCGGTTCCTATCATGAATGATGAATGTCTTACTTTTATTTTGAACTATATTTTACTTGTAGAATGGTATGACCATATCTAAGTACTACTATATGTTCGTATTGAACCAGATCGTATTCTATTTTGACAAGCTTTTTTTCAATAGGTATAAAAATCTAAAGGATGTGAAAAAAATGCTATACAAGCAGGAAGCCCGTTATGAAAACGCTCGTACATTTTTGCAAAACATCAAAGTCATCATGGCCAAGTTGAAAGTAAGTTGCTTTTGGTTTGTTTCATGCTTTTTTGAAAAAAAATTCGATATTTAACCACCATATGCAATACTGTATTGACAATAACCCTAGATCTGTGATTGGAGTTCTTTAAATGAAAGCTTAATTCAGATACGTATTTCAATGCTTAGGAGAGTACTCCAAACAGCAGTGTCTCTGGGAATAGAGCAAAAAGAACCGTTAGTGGTTGGTACCAAATATGACAACCTATCAAGAGTTTGTAGCGATACAGTATAAGAGATTAAACTTGCATAAACTTTACACTAGAATCGAGATACAGGTCTCGAAATCAATGACATCACACCTAAGATATCCGAAATTTTTGATGGTTATAATCGATCTAACGTACTTCCTGCTGACTCGGATACACTACTTTTTGAAGAAAAACCCAACTTTCTTCGTCTTTCCGGAGATTTGAGGGCATACTTTGAAGAACACATTCAATCTCGCGAGGATGCTACGGAAGATTCCGAATTGTTTGCAAATTTAGAAAGATACTTCAAATATATAGTTGAAAGAAGAATCTTTCGCGTGCAAGAATGGTTTGCGCAAAATACCATCAAGTTCCCACAGGATAATAGTGGTGTTGCTATTGGACGTTATGTATTGGAACAGGAAATCGAGTCCGTTTTTTTTTTTTATGATTGATTAGCACAACTTAACCATTGACTAAAATATTTAATAATCTCGTCATTCAGAAAGCTCTCTCTTTTCTGGACATTATGCGGACTCACTTGCCACAAATGTAACTTGAAATGCTTGAAAAATCGAGATCATGCTGATGGACGACACGATTGCTTAACTGACCACGAGTGCCATGTCTTATGTCAATTTTCGGACGCTCATAAAGACTCTATTCCACAATGCGGTCATAAGGCTGCACATTTTGGAAAACATACCTGTGATAAAGTAACGTTTGTTTTATAAGGCTCTATAATTTTCTTATATTTTTCATAAGCACTCATCATAGACCGTCACTTCATTATTTAATAATAGGTCAGTCATTTGTGTGGACAAAATTGTAGCCTCTATGACAAACGGAACTGCCAAAAAAAATGCTCGAAAGAGATTAATCATAAGGACGGCATGGAACCTTACACGCTAATTCATAGGACATTATTGTGGAGCAACTTGTTCTTTGTTGACATACACTCAAAAAGGACTTTATCGATGTCCAAACAAATGCAGTATTCCATGCGAAGATGACCATGAGATTCATCGCATGTATATTACAATTTCCTCTGTTGACTACCTGATTTTTGTTTCTAAACATTTGACGTATAGGTTGTGAGAATGAAATGTGCCCGATACCTTGCCCTATTCCCGATTGCCAAAGAAGATGTCGATCTGGCGACCACTTTCATTCCATATCAGAGCTTCATGTAGATCATTTTTGCGGGTGAGAAACTAAAGGTTAAGCGAAACGACAGTAGAATATCATAATGAGAAGCTCTTTCATAATTACAGAAATAAACATCATTGTCAAGAACAATGCGAACATCCTGGTGTATGCAAGGTACTTACCGAGCCTAAAAAAAACGAACAAAAATATCAAGGATTAAGCGGAACTTCGTCTAAATTCATCAAGGTACTGTACACAGTACCGTGTTTTTAAAATCTGTTTGAGTGCTATATGACCCACATTTCTTTTAAAGTACACACAAGTCAGTGAAAAGTTGAAATGCAGCAAGAAAATTCCACCAAATTCGTTCAAACACGAAGGGCCACACTGTCATAATGAGGACGGCGTTCATTTCTGTGATTCTCAGGTAAACACTATAAAATAAATCACATTTAAACAACAACTCATACTAATTATTTTTAATTAGTGCCAATTTTGCGAATATTATGTAAGTTATTTTTGATAAAATGATCACAGACTATTCACAATTCATATGTAATAAATCGATAATTTCATATAATAGTGCACCTTACCATATGGTCACGTTCAAACTTTACATGAAACCAGTCATGGTAATATGATTCAGGCTGAGTTTGCCACAGAAAACGATGAGTTTGAGCATGGTGGACATAAGTTAGGAATAAGAGATCAGGGCATATTTGTTCTTTGCAATTTTGTATGTTTATCAATAAAGTACGCATTGTAATTTTTATTTAGCTATATTCTATCTTATTGATTTATTTTATCTGGTCAAAGCATTGCAAAGAGCTAGGTCGTCATCGACATATTGATTATTACCAAAATAAAGAGAACTGTAAATTAAATGATAACCAGACGTCAGATTTAAGGCATATTGATGGTGAACATCTTTACAACCTTCCATGATATATATGCTGTGTAATTACATTTTGTCAACAGGTCTAGTTCATCCTAACTCTGATAAGCCGAAAGATTTTCTTTCTCACCGTCTTTTCTGGGAACGTACGGGATTTAAAGGCACGTATGATGGATTGAATGATTGTTTTGATGGCACAAAAATAACTTCCTTGTGTACTTTGTAGACCCATACACTGTTCAGGAACAACAAGAATTTTCTAAATGTGATCATGAATACCCAGATGAAAAATACAAAAAATCATCTGGTTTATCAAGTGCTACACCTTCAAAGTCTTATTGTGAATCAAAACTTTTCCATGAATCATTAGATCCTTCTTTACCACCTCCTAATGTTTGTGGATATGTTTCATTGGGCGAACACCACTTCGATTGCAAAAGCCCCGCTGCATTTCACATAATTTTTGTCTTAGATCGATCTTTATCAATGTCCGACACCGATAAAAAACCTCTGCAGGGTACTCCAATTTATAACAATTTGGTTCTTACACATAATAATCGACTCGGCGCAGTATATAATGCGGTATGATTTTAATCCATTTGTTATATATACTAGCATTTTCTCAATTGCCAAGTTATTTCATTTCAGGTCTACTCTTTTTTGGATACTCGCATTTCGTCATTCCGTTCAAGTCAGAATTTCTCACATAACTCTGCAACAACTCCACAAGATTCAGTATCATTAATATTTTTTGATCACGAGGCTATTATTGAAAGTGAAAATCTACCTTTGGTTGATCCTAGTCATTTTTTGAATGCGATGCTTAAATATACTCCCAGAAAAGGCACAAACTATTACCTTGCTATTCAAAAGGCGGGATTTATCATTGACAAACATTTTGATCCAACAAAGTACGCAACAATTTATGACATTTGAGTAACTAATTACTGCTGTTTATTTCGTTGTTACGATTACAAATTATTTCTCTAACATTGTTAGATGCCCCCTTATAATTTTTTGTTCTGACGGGAAAGGTGGGATTTCAAAACATTGGATGCATGAAATTTGCCTAAAAAATCAACAGAGAGAGTAAACATTCTCGAAGTTACTTTTTTTTTATTCACCAAGTACACATGCAAAATAACAATTTAAATTTTTCGTCTAGGTTTCCGATTTATCTTCATACAGTTCTTTTCAGTAGTAAATTAAATAGTTCATTACTGAAAAAAATGACTGAAATTGCAGAATCCTACCATCCGAAATCATCGGCATCAGGTGCGTTAAAATGCCATTATACCCGGATTATTGATGAAGTCAGCTTGATCAATCATTTTAATGGAGTTGCCGAAAGCTTAAAAGAACACATAATTTAAATAGTTCCTTTCTATTGGTTAGAAATTTTTGCTGTCAGAATATCTTTCTCTTCTTTCATATTTTACATTTAGTAAATTGTCTTCTAGCCAGTGTGACCTATGTAGACACACGCATACATATATAATTGTTTTTGCATCAACGACAAAAAACAAAAATTTACATTAAGGATTTAAAAACCTTTTTATTATAAGTTCTTGTGTGAAATAAATTCTATAACACCGGACATTGAAATCGCAAGACGAAGCACTACATACAGTATTAGGGTTAGAAACAATCATGACAAACGTTCATTCCCTTACGCAAATAAATAATTTGATGTCATTTTAAAATTTATCTTTAAATTTATATTCATAAATAATTTTAAAATAATTATAATACAGTAGTTATGTGGTAAATAATAATGCAATCTTATTTTTTAATAAAATTTTCATATTTACATACTATCATATGATCATCATAATATAAATTATAATTTTCTTATTCATTTATAATAAACCTTACTATTAATTGAATTCTATACAATAATTTTTTAAAAAAATAAAGATATGGAAATACAAGTAAAACCATAATAGAAAGTGTATAATAACAAGCAGACATCCAAGCAAATATATACAGTATATATGTTAGAAGGTAAAAATTATATAAAAAAATTTCAATGAAATTTAAAATATTTAATCGAAAACAAAAAAATATTCAATTAAAAATGTTTAACGCAATCTGATAACACGAAAATTTTCGGTCGTTATAAGAAGTTTCGAAAATTACGTTGTTAAAAATATTATATAAACAAATTATATTATTTTGATGTATTAAAATTCTTATTAAAAATATGTATCAATAAGTCTAGAACATTAAAAATATCATTAATATCAATGTATTGTTAATAAAAATTTATTAAATTTACAAAGAAACAACTATCATAGATTTTTTCTCATATAATTCAACAGAAAAGTAAAGTTCTTGATCTTATTTTTCTTTGATTAAAGGTTTTTTTTTAACATATCAATATACTTTTATAATTTCTTAAGGTTCTTATAATAAAAGTAAAAAAAGTGTAAAGGACTTGTAAATATTTGAAGAATAAATGAATTTTTTAAATTGATAATTTTCAAATAAATGGATTTATTTATTATAAAATATATTTTATTAAATAAAGCAATATAAATAATTTTATATAAATTTTTTTTTTATTTCTTAGAACAATAGTAATTCTATTGGAATAACAGTTACAAATATAAATTAATAATAATCTTTTGATTAGACCAAGAAATATTTTTGTATATTGTTTTTCAAAAAAGAACAATATTTTTATTTTCTATAATCTTATTTAAAGATTTGAAAGAATTTAAAGTCTAAGATAATAATCTTATATAATAATCAGTTTTTAATGATAAAATAGTTAAGATTATATGGTTTTATTATGAAAAATTTAAAGATCATATACAGGTTTATTATATTTATTAATAAATATATTGTATTTTATAAATATTTAATTATTACAAACCTACAAAAAATCCCCCTACCTCCAACCCGAAACTATCTTAAACAAATAAACAAAACATATCGCCTAACAGA